CAGACCAACTAAGGCCAATTGTGTGAAGAGTTTGTCTTGATAAAGAATCCGCACTATCTCTTGAATATTTAGCAAGATAGTCTTATATGTCAAGAGGACAGTGGGAGTCTTAAAGATCCTGAAAGAATTTCAAGATCTAATCAAGAATAAAAACCTGTAGTTTGACACTATCACACAACGTGAGGTTTATAACATATCGTGTTGACATATTTCTATTTCTATGCCCATTGCAGTTAAATTTGGCTTTGCATATGAGTTCTAAGAGTTCTCAATTGGTAGCATAACAACTTGGAAGTAATGGCAGACCCTTGTGCTGCCAGGTGGCAAGAAGTTAAGACTGCACAAGTTCAGTACATATGAGTTTGGATTTGTCACTAACCTTGTCTTGTGATTATGGTTTTGACAAATTCACATGGATAAAAACACATACACCATAAAATCTAAGTGTCATAAGGTTTCTCTCCGATTCATGAAAATGATGGTGAGGAAACACTTTCATTAATTAGATTTTATGTAGATAACAATTGTGATATTTGCATTCTCAATGTCGTTAGTGGAGCGAGTGTGGTTAACCGGCACACTAACATGGACTTGTGAGAAAATGGAAAAGGTCTACACAATTGAGACTATGATTACGGCATCCCTTTTCATAGTTCTAAAAAATTGTTCAGACACACATATGAGTTATCTAAGGAAAGGTGTGTGATTTTGGTAAAGTCTTATCAAAACATCTCGTATCAGAAATCTGAACTTTGGTAAGAAAGTCAATAAAATATTCATTTCTAGAAGTTCAGCTGATTTCTGAGTACATGTCAAAGCTAGTGGGAGCATAAGGGTTATGCTAATAATCATCATGTTAGTAGGAGCATGATAGTTATTATTAGTATTGCAAGATAGCAATGTTAATTATAGAAAACAAAAGTTTCAATTCGTGAAGTTGCAGGGGTTGAAAAGTTGTTTTGCTATAATTAATGGAGAGGAGATTATACTTCATTTCAATTCTAAAAAGCTTAGATTGAGGTTTTAATCATCTTTAGTCAAGGATATATATGAATTTTGTGTTGGAATGGCTCAACATAAGGAAATTCTATATATGGGTCCATTATTTGCGTTCTAAAATTCGATTATGATTACGGCATCCCTTTTCATATTTTGAATTATGAGAACTTGGCAAATAGAAATATTGTAGCAAAAAGACTGGTCTAGTATCATGTCTTTATGTGATACATCATGAATCGTGTCCCATATGCTTCGGATATAGGGTCGATTGCATGTACTACAATATTCATCTGTTCTAAATTTTTCCAAATGCCTAGAGCATTAAGAGGGAAAAAGTACTAGAACTAAATATGACTAATTTGATTAAGCAATTGTCGAGGACAATCTAAGGTTTACCAAAGATTGGTTGCTCAGGGACAGTTGGAAGTATAGTGTTAATTTTTGGAAATGACCATATTGACATATTCTGAAAAGAGGCAACTATTGTTTAGAAGTGATAGTCAAAATGGGAATATGGAAATGTTTCCATAGGTGGAAGTTATTCAATTTGTGTAAGATTAGAAAAACTTAATGCAAGAAGGATGTTTCCATGGAGTTGATCTCCATTGGAATACTCTGTAATGTCTGTTGACAAGTCTTCGCGACTTTGTGCATAATCATTACAAGAGGATCAATGCATATAAGTTTAAAATCTAACAATATTTCGGTAAATGGCATGAATTTGGAATTCTTGCATTTACGGTAAGGATTTGGGACTGTGAAATGAGAATCATTGGAATTGTATTCAATCAATCTATTTCACAAAGTAAAGATCATAGACAAACTTAGTGTGCATACTTGGTGTATGGTATAACTAATGTTT